ACAGTAGTTTGAACATACTTTAGCATTGCTCTCTTTGGGATTGGAATGAAAACTTTTCCAGGACCTTGGCCATTGCTGAGTTTTCCAAATTTGCTGGCATAAGGAGTGTAGCATTTTAACAGCATCACCTTTTAGGATCTGAAAAAGCTGAGCTGGAATTCCATCACCTCCACTAGCTCAGACAATCGGAGAAGGCACTAGCAACCCACTCCAGTACTCTTGCCTGGAAAATCCCATGGACGAAGGAGCCTGGTAGGCTGCAGTCCATGGGGTCACTGGGAGTCAGACATGACTGAGCAACTTCACTTTTGTTTTTCACTTTCACACATTGGAGAAGGAAATGGCAACCCACTCCAGTATTCTTGCCTGGAGAATCCCAGGGATGGGGGAGCCTGGTGGTCTGCCGTCTGTGGGGTTGCACAGAGTCGGACATGACCGAAGTGACTTAGCAGCAGCAGCAGTTCAGACAATACTAAGATGGCAATACTTCTCAAATTGACATACACTGTCAGTGCAATCCCTAATAAAATCCTAGTTGACTTTTTTGGTGAAAACTGACAAGTTGATCCTAAAATTGATGTGGAAATTCAAAATAATAATTGAAACAATCAAAACTATCTTCGGGAAAAAAAGTTGATGGACTAACACATCCTGATTTCAAAATCTAGTACAAAGCTACAGTAATCAAAACAGTGTGGCACTGGAGCTAAGAATGAATGCACAAATCAATGAAACAAAACTGGAAATATACAGTCATATTTACAGTCAACTTATTTTCAACAAGAGTGCCAAGACCATTCAATAGGGAAAAGAATCATCTTTCTAATATATGGTGCTGGAAAAACTGTACAGCCAGATGCAAAAGAATGAAACCTGATCCCTACCCTCACACCATACAAAAATTAACTCAAAAGAGATCAAATACTTAAATGTAGAAGCAGAATTATAAAACTCATAGAAGAAAACAAATTTTTACAAGCTTGAATTCGATAATGGCTTCTTATATATGACATCAAAAGCACAAGCAACAAAAGAAAAACTAGATAAACTGGACATCAAAAATCAAGAAATTCTGTGCTTCAAAGACACTATCAAGAAAGCAAAGGGACAGTCCACAGAACTGGAGACAATTCTTAAAAATCACATATATGTTAAGGAGTTGTATTTAGAATATATATACGTATATATTCTTATAACTCAAAAATAAAACAGCAAATAACCCAATAAAAATTAGTCACAGACTCTAAGTACACATTTCTTTAATGATTATTTACAGACAGCAAATAAATGGGTGAAAAGATGCTCAATATGATTAGCCATTAGGGTATGACAAAAACCATTACAATACTGTAAAGTAATTAGCCTCCAACTAATAAAAATAAATGGAAAAAAAAAAGATTAGCCATGAGGGAAATGAAAATCAAACTCACAATGAGATACCACTTTACACCCAGCAGAATGGGTGTATAATCAAAAAGATAAACAGTAACAAGTGTAGGCCAGGATGTGGAGAAACTGAACCCACATACACTACTGACAGATATGTAAAACAGAGAAGAGTCTCTGGAAAACAGTCTAGCAGCCCCTCAAAATGTTGAAATTAGAGTTACCACACAACTCAATAATTCCACTCCTACGTAAACAGCCAAAAGAAATTACAATTTATGTCCACACAAAAACCTGTACATAAATATTCACAAAGCAGCATTACTCATGAGAGCCCCAAAATGGAAACAATCCAAATGTCCATCAACAGATGAAGGAATAAATAAAATGTATATCAGATCCATACAGTAGAAAATTATCCAGCAATAAAAAGAAATGAAGCACTGATATATGCAACAACACAGATGAAATTTGAAAACATTATGATAAGTAAAACAAAGCCAGAAAGACCACATACTGTATGATTCCATTTACATGAAATACCCATAGTGGTAAATCTAAATACACAGACAGTAGATCAGTGATTGCTTACGGCTCAGGGGGATTGGTACTGATGAATTAGGGGTGTGTAATTTCTCTTTGGGATGAAGAAATGTTCTAAAATTGATTGTTGTGATGGTTATTACAACTCTGTGAAAATACTAAAAGCCACTGAATTGTACAGTTTAATGGGTAAATTTTATGGTATATGAATTATATCTCAATAAAACTGTTTAAAAAAATTAAGCTAAGTCAGACCACTAAGTGACCAAGTCAGAACACTAGTTACCTTTGGAGTTAGTTACCTTTGGAGTGCACTAACTGGAAAGGGGCACAGGGGATCCTTTTGAGGTGTTAGAAATGTTTCATATCTTTAATTTGGGTGGCAGTTACATGGATGTACATATTGAGCTATACAATTAAGACTGGTTCATTTCACTATAGGCAAACACTACTTTTTTAATAATAAATATTTGTGAGTAAATGACTATTTTATTTAATCCTTATAGAAACCTAAGAAGTATATATAATTATTATGAGGAAACATAGGTTCAAAACACTAACCTGCCCAAAGTCACAAGGCAGGGACTTGCACTTCTATCTCTCAACTCTAAATCCTGACTCCAATACTCCATGACTTAATCTTTGGATTTCTCATGTAAGGTATGACACATAAATATTAGATGAATTGGTGGCACTAGTGGTAAAGAACCCGCCTGCCAGTGCAGGAGATGTAAGAGACACAGGTTTGATCCCTGGGTCAGGAAGATCCCCTGGAGGAGGAAATAGAAACCCACTCCAGTATTCTTGCCTGGAGAATCCCATGGACAGAGGACCCTGGCGAGTTTCAGTCCATGGGATTGCAAAGAGTCAGACACAACTGAAGTGACTTAGCATACTTTATGCTATATATTTAAATTATAAAATATAATTCAATAAAATGCTTAAATTATATATATTTAACTTATTGAATGCTATAGGCACAATATTGAATGCTAAAGGGCACAAAAGGCTAAATTACAGGTCGAAGGAAACAAGTGCTATATGGAGAATAATAAGACTTGAGGTGATCCTTGAATCTAAGAGAACAGCTTGAACAGGACTTGGAAATAGGGATGAGTATGGGGTCAGACAGGAGGAATCATAGTGCCCTAGGAAAACATCTTGCACAGAATAGTTTTCATCTTTTAAAGTGTTTCCTATACATTTAATTATTGAAACCAATATGTTCAAATCTGATAGCAATGGTGCTACACCACCAAATACATCTAATTTCTTAAAGATATGTAACAAAATAAAAACTGTTCTCCTTAGCACAGAACACCTACAGGCTCAAAGTGGATTTTCAAAGAATCATAGTAGATAAGGGATCAATAAGCATTAAGTTAGAGGCACCCGACAGATCCCAAAATTCCAGTGCTTCATGACATTTAGCCACACTATTTCCATGGAAATTCTAAGAGTAAAAAAGGTCATGTGCACGCGTGCTAAGTTGCTTCAGTTGTGTCCAACTCTTTACAACCCCATGGACTGTAGCCTGCCAGGCTTTTCTATCCGCGGGATTCTCCAGGCAAGAATACTGGAATGGGTTGCCATTTCCTCCTCTAAGGGATCTTCCCAACCCAGGGATTGAACCCATGTCTCCTGCAGCTCCTGAATTGCAGACGGATTCTTTACTGCTGAGCCACCAGGGAAGTCCCTGAAGAAGTCACTGTTCAGCCAATTTAAACAAGCAATCTAACATAATTCAACTCCTAAAGTTGCCATCTTTCAAAATGAAAAAAAAAAAAAATCACTAAAATAATGGCTTATCTTCAATTACTTGAATAGAGGCTATAGAAGGAATTACCACTAAGTGTCTGCAAAGAAGGAATAGATTCTAGATACCAACACTCTCTTATCAATCGTAACAGAAACAAAATGTCTCTTAAAGAATGCACAGGCAGGAAAGGCGACCCAAAGATGAGACTCGTTATATTACAGTTGGTAGTATCCTTGAAAATCTCCCATTTGTAAGATATTATTTGTCATTTTTGTTCAACACATCCATCATCTTGATCTATGTGAAGATCAATCACTGACAAGAAAATTTAAAATCTTGACATTCTACCTACCAAACCTGTCAAAACTGCTCTGAAAGCTTGGAGGCATAGGGACCTTAACAATCCTCTCTGATTGACTGACTTACTTCTAAATAAGTTACCATTCAAGAAATCTGGTACCAAGCTCTTCATCAACTGATCACATGAGCTTTACTGTTTCTCCAATTTAAAAAAAAGTAAATGCACAACTACACACACACACACACACACACACACAGACACTGATGCTCTACATGCCTACACAGACACACATACACACACACACACCCTGATGCTCTATTTCCCAGTTTATACTCAGCCTCAGTTTAAGATAAGTGTGTAAAAACAGAATCCAAACACAGTGAATAATAGTTATTTACTGGGTCCTTGGACACTATTTTAGGTACCTCAAAAGCATTATAGAGGTTATTCCTCCCCAAAACTCTATGTGGTAGGTTTCATTATTTTAGGACACTTTTATCATGATTTTACACGTTAGGAAACTCAAAATCAAACATCTGGTAATTTCTTAAATTCAAAATGGGAATGCTGATAATTGAAGCACAATGTATCTGATTTCAAAAAGGCATTTTTTGATTCAACTAAAAGGCACTGCCTCTGACAGGAAAAAATAAAGACAGTAGACTTTCACTTATTCATACTCAGTGACTATATACAAGAACACTGGAGTCAGGCTGGATGGATTCAAAACCAACTCAACCGCTTACACCATGTGTGTCTCTGATCCTCAGTTATCTAATACATAAGTTAAAGAGGGTGAGAGTACCTATAGCATAAGACTGTAGTGAACGTTCAACAAATGTGTATCTGTAAAAGGCCTGAAACACAGACTATCATCGTACAGAACGGAAACATACTACTACTGTGGCAGGGGGAAGTGGTAAACGACGATAAGGATTCCCAAGGAAAATCTTAATTTCTGGGAAAAATAACTTACACCACTAACCAAGAGAAAACAGTAGCCTGGAGGAGTTAGGGAGCGTTGAGGAGAGAGGGGGTGGGGGACCCAGTCGACCTGACTCCGAAAGAGGGCCCGGTTGTGAGGCCCCACGGAAGGAGGCGGCATAAACGGAGCCCCCTCCCTGGGTGCTCAGCGTGAGGAAGACGCCTTCGAAGGGTGAGCGGGGACCGGAGCCGGTCGCCGGAGACCCAGAAGGGCCGAAAGGGACCCGGGGAGAATGAAGGCCGCACCCTCGGTTTGAGGGGAGCGGGCCCGGCAGTCGAGGGAGGAAGACCATCCGAGGTCCCCAACGGCCCAACCGGCGTCCCGAGGGCACTCCCCGGCGTCCGGAAGCGCCCAGTATCCTGAGGGGCCATCCTCGGGGTCCTAACGGGCCTACCCTGGCGTCCCGAAGGGCCGTCCTGTCAGGAGGCGCCCACCTTAGCGTCCAAAGAGACCCGCCTCAGCATCAAGAGAGTCCTAACCACAAGTCACAGGCTCCGCTCAGGAGAAGAGTGGGCCGCGCCCCCACTGAGGGAGAAAAGGAGGCGGGAAGAAGGCGGACGGAGGTGTGCCGAAACGACTGGTACTCACTGACCGTCCGCGCCGCGCGGATGAGCCCCTCCTCTCAGGTCCTGTGGGTCGCGAGCTCCGGTAGCACGTCAGGAATCTGAGGCGGGCGAGCACGCGCGAACCTGGCACACCGCGGGGTAGCGACGCGCTCTCGGGGCGGGCGCATGCGCGGGGGACCAAGGACAGAACCAATCCGCACTGAGGGGGGAGGCAGCCACCAGGACATACCAACTGTGTGAGGTGGGGGGGTCGCCATCAACCAGAGGCAGATTTCATCTCCAAGAGCCGACTGGGCACCTCCCAGTGGTCTCGCAGTTTATTCGTTTGCTTTACCATTTGCTAGTACTTTGAGAGAAACCAAAGAGTAGTAGTAACAGAGTCCGCGAAACCCTACCGTGAAACCTTGAAAGTCTTCTCTGCCACATCAAGCCTCGTCTGACCCTGTTTTTGCGTGTAACTTAAGTTATACTGAAATTATCTGTTCATAAGATAAGGAAAACAATCTCCAAATGGTAAATGTTATTAAAGTCTGACCATTTCAGGAGAAGAAGGGACTCTGGGAAGTGAAAACTCTTAACAGATGCAAGGTAGAAGCATAAAATAAGAACAGCCACTTGTGGTGAAATTTAAAATCTGCATTTTTATGACCCAGCAATTTCATGTCTACAAGGGTGCAGAAGACGTGTTCATGTTCAGGCCCGCTTCCTTGTGAAAAGTATAAAAAGAAGAAATGTACAATAAGCTGTGAATGAATAAAACAGTATGTTCTATAATAAAATATTGCAAATAAGATTCATAAATGAGTACTATATATCTCAACATTTGACAGCTCGTAAGAGTTGTGGAAAATTCTGAAAGAGATGGGAATACCAGACCACCTAACCTGCCCCTTGAGAAACCTGTATGCAGGTCAGGAAACAACAGTTAGAACTGGACATGGAACAACAAACTGGTTCCAAATAGGAAAAAGAGTACATCAAGGCTGTATACTGTCACCCTGCTTATTTAAGTTATATGCAGAGTACATCATGAGAAACACTGGGCTGGAAGAACCACAAGCTGGAATCAAGATTGCCGGGAGAAATATCAATAACCTCAGATATGCAGATGACACCATCCTTATGGCAGAAAGTGAAGAGGAACTAAAAAGCCTCTTGATGAAAGTAAAAGAGGAGAGTGAAAAAGTTGGCTTAAAGCTCAACATTCAGAACACTAAGATCATGGCATCCAGTCCCATCACCTCATGGGAAATAGATGGGGAAACAGTGTCAGACTTTATTTTTGGGGGCTCCAAAATCACTGCAGATGGTGATTGCAGCCATGAAATTAAGACGTTTGTTCCTTGGAAGGAAAGGTATGACCCACCTAGATAGCATATTAAAAAGCAGAGACATTACTTTGCCAACAAAGGTCCATCTAGTCAAAGCTATGGTTTTTCCAGTAGTCGTGTATGGATGTGAGAGTTGGACTATAAAGAAAGCTGAGCACCGAAGAATTGATGCTTTTGAACTGTGGTGTTGGAGAAGACTCTTGAGAGTCCCTTGGACTGCAAGAAGATCCAACCAGTCCATCCTAAAGGAAATCAGTCCTGAATATTCTTTGGAAGGACTGATGCTGAAGCTGAAACTCCAATACTTTGGTCACCTGATGCAAAGAACCAACTCATTGGAAAAGACCCTGATGCTGGGAAAGATTGAAGGCAGGAGGAGAAGGAGATGATAGAGGACGAGATGGTTGGTTGGCAACCACACAAGAGAAGCCAGTGCGATGAGAAGCCCACACACTGGAACTAGAAAAAAAAGACCATGCAGCAACAAAGACCCAGCACAGCCAAAAATAAATTATTTTTTTAAAAAAGAGAGTCAGAATGGCTTGATACCAAGGGCCAGGCAACCAAGCAAAGCTGTGATATCTACTTAAATGGGGAAGCAGTACTGTGTAGTTGGCCTGCCACTACTAAAGATCCTGAGTGCCACAACTAAAGAACTCACATGCCACAACAAAGATTGAAAATCCCACATGATCCAACTAAGACCTGGTGCAGCCAAATAAATAAATATTGTGTGTGTGTGTGTGTGTGTGTAATAAAGTTTTATTAAAGTATAAAGGAGATAAAGAAAGCTTCTGACATAGGCATCAGAAGGGGACAGAAAGAATAACCCCCTGCTAGTCTTCAGCTGGATGTTACATAGTCACTAGCAGCCGGAAACGACTGAGCGACTTCACTTTCACTTTTCACTTTTATGCACCGGAGAAGGAAATGGCAACCCACTCCAGTGTTCTTGCCTGGGAGATTCCCAGGGACAGGAGAGCCTGGTGGGCTGCTGTCTTTGGGGTCGTACAGAGTCAGACACGACTGAAGCGATTTAACAGCAGCAGCAGCAGTCTGTTAATGAAAGAAAAGAATGTCTTAAAACTCAGAATGGCACCACGCCGTTCATCCATGAGATGTATTTTGGGATAATATTGGCACCAGATGATTCATCCCAGGCCATAAAACAATTAACTTGAATCTTGTAGAAGGGCATATTACTGTAAGTCTATGATCCGATAGATTAGGTTAGTACTTCTAATTCCCAAGGAGTTATGAAATGGTCAGAGACCAGAAAGTTTGACCGAGAAGGAGAGTTCAGTACACACGCACACACGCTTTGCCCATTTCTGGTCGGTCCCCAAAGGAGACGTTGGATGCCTCTTGGCATCGGCAGGTCGGTATAAACCCCTGACAGGCTTCTGCCGTAAGCCGTATGAGATCACCGCGGAACCGCAGAGCAGGGCTCCTCACTTACTTCGAGCAGGGCATTTCATTCATTAACACAAGCACACAGTAGAGTTAGTAAAGTGCAGCAGAAAACATGTTCGCTATGAGAACAAAGAACTAGAGCTCCAAGCATCCTTACCCTGTCATGAAGGATCCCGGACGAGCCCCCAAGATGAAAGGTTGTTGTTGACCCATGAAAAGACACCAGGATTCTTGGCCTCCGGAGGAGAAGAATTCAATCCAGGGCCAGAGACGAAGCTTGATTGCTCAGAGCTTTTGTGAAATAAAGTTTTATTAAAGTATAAAGGAGATAGAGAAAGTTTCTGACATAGGCATCAAAAGGGGGCAGAAAGAGTACCCCTAAATATTTTTTAAAAAATAGATTTCCAACTGTCTATATTTTTAAAAAGAGGTGGGAAGGAGTTCCCAGGTGACACAGTGGTAAAGAATCTGCCTGCCAACACAGAAGACACAAGAGATGCAGTTGGATCCCTGGGTCGGGAAGATTCCCTGGAGAAGGAAATGGCCACCCACTCCAGCACTCCAGTATTCTTGCCTGGAAAATTCCACAGACAGAGGAGGCTGGCAGGTTACAGTCCATGGGGTCGCAGACAGTGGGACACGACTGAGCAACTGAGCACATTCAAAAAAACAAGGCCTTTTTTCAGGCAACCTGGAAGATGAGCGTGGGAACCAAAAGCAACCGAGAAGAGGGTCCTACCTGGGGAAACTGGCAAGGAAAAGCTCCCTCCATACTACAAAAACACTGGACTGGGCTTCAAGACTCCAAATGATGCCATTGAGGCACCTACATTGACAAAAAAAATGCCCTTTTATTGGTAACGTCTCCATTGGAGGGCAGATCCTGTCTGGCACGGTGACAACTGTCATCTGCCAAGACTACCTTCACTACAACCACTTTGAGAAGCACCCATAAGAACATGTCCGTGCACCTTTCCCCCTGCTTCAAGGATGTCCAGATCAGCGACATTGTCACAGTGGGTGAGTGCTAAGTAAGACTGTGTGTTTCAACATGCTCAAGTCCACCAAGGCTACCGGAACCATGAAGTGGTTCCAGACGTTCTGAGACTGGTCCCTTGCCCACTGCCTCAAACTAAATAAAGTTATTTTCCCAGTCAAAACAAAAACAAAAACCAGCAACCACAAGAAATTTGGAATGGCTATAATATTAATAATATCATACAAAACAGACTTTAAAACAAAAAGAAGTTGTTAGAGACACAGAAGGATATATCATCATGATAAAAATATCAGTACATCAGAAGATAACAGTTACAAACATAAATGCAACTAATAACAGATCATCAAAATTCACGAAGCAAAAACTGACAGAAATGAAAGAAGAAACACACAACTCAACAATCAAATTTGGAGAATCCAATACCCCACTTTCAATAACGGATAAAACAAACCCTCATATAATGAGATAAAATAAAGGTTGAACAACAACACTAAAATTAGACCTTACAAACAACTATAAAACCCTCCACCCAGCAACAGAATATATACTCTTCTCAAGGAACAGGGAACAGTCTCCAGAATAGATATTATACTAGACCATTAAAAAAAAAAAACTCAGTAAATCTAAAAGGCTAGAAATAACTCAAGATATATTCTCCACTACAATAAAAAGAAATTAGAAATCAACTGCAAGAAAAAAAAAAGGGAAATTCACAAATACATGGAAATTAAACAATGAACTCCAAAACAATAACAGGTCTGAGAAGAAATCTAAAGGGAAATTAGGAAGTAATTTGAGATGAATGAAATCAAGACACAACATACCAAAACTTGTTATATGCAACTAAAAGCAGTGCTTAGAAGGAAATTTACAACTGTAATGGAGTTATTAAGAAAGGAGAGAGGACTTCCCTGGTGCTCCATTGGTTAAGAATTCATCTGCCAATGTAGGGGACACAGGTTCTATCCCTGGTCCGGGAAGATTCCACATGCCTCTGGGCAACTAAGCCTGTGCCCCACAACTACTGAGCCCCTGCTCTAGACTCTGTGAGCCACAACTAC